CTTATTAATCAAAGTGTGTTTACTTTGAATATTGAACAAAGTGATGACATTCTTATTAATGAAAGTGTGTTTACTTTGAATATTAGACAAAGTGATGACATTCTTATTAATCAAAGTGTGTTTACTTTGAATATTGAACAAAGTGATGACATTCTTATTAATGAAAGTGTGTTTACTTTCAATACTGGACAAAGTGATGACATTCTTATTAATAAAATGTGTTTACTTTCAATACTGGACAAATTGATGACATTCTTATTAATAAAAGTGTGTTTACTTTGAATATTAGACAAAGTGATGACATTCTTATTAATGAAAGTGTGTTTACTTTGAATAATGTACAAAGTGATGATATTCTTATTAATGAAAGTGTGTTTACTTTGAACATTGGACAAAGTGATGACATTCTTATTAATGAAAGTGTGTTTACTTTGAATACATGTACAAAGTGATGACATTCTTATTAATGAAAGTGTGTTTACTTTGAACATTGGACAAAGTGATGACATTCTTATTAATGAAAGTGGGTTTACTTTGAATACATGTACAAAGTGTTGACATTCTTATTAATGAAAGTATGTTTAATTTGAATACATGTACAAAGTGTTGACGTTTTTATTAATGAAAGTGTGTTTACTTTGATTATTGAACAAAGTGATGACATTCTTATTAATGAAAGTGTGTTTACTTTCAATACTGGACAAAGTGATGACATTCTTATTAATGAAAGTGTGTTTACTTTCAATACTGGACAAAGTGATGACATTCTTATTAATGAAAATGTGTTTACTTTGAATACACTGGCATTCATAGTAATGACGTTTGTGGATTGTACATAACTGATGAGTGTTTGTAAATTTGGAAAGGTTCATTCATGGTTTCTCATATGTTTTACTTAGTTAAGAAATGCTTAGCTCAAATTATGTGGAGTTAAATTTTTAATTGCTCTGTTGATTTTATGGGGCCATGCGAGCTACTTAGCAGACACTTTTTACAAGCCGGCCAACACTTTTGGGGGGGTAATTGGCTCATAAAAACACAGTTTCAGTTCTTTATTAAGTTTAATATCAGAAAGTTTTTAAGAATTTACATTAAATAAACTTTAATTAAAAGATCACAAAACACATATAATATTTGACATGAAAGACTTGAAAATGTTAAGAAATTGTGAGAAAGAAGTAGATATTTAAATAAATTGAACATTAATATGCAGAAAAAATGGAATATTCCAAAGCCAGTAGTATTAGTAAGAAAAAATCTTTATCCAACACATGAAATATCAGTTCATGTAGAAATAAAAAATATATATACTTTAAAACCAAAAGTAGATTCTAGGTCCAGGAACAAACTAAAATCATCAAATTCTGTTTATAATTATGTGTGGATGAATTATTAGTAGTCAAAATCAAATATAACCATGGGTGAAATTTACTTTAAAATAACTTTATTTTAGTTACTTATGCCAAAGCCCTAAACAATGTGTGAACTTTATCATTATTTCTAACTAATACATATTAGTTTTTAATACATAGTGGATCAACCAGTAGATGGTTAAAAACGTGTGCAGCAGGTAGATATGATCACTGTCAAGTATTTTGGGATATGACTTAGTTGGGTGTTACATAGTTGTCACAGTACATTACTTCAAGTTCTTAACAAAAGCCAATTATTTGTGGTGGTTACATATATAAAAGAGAGTGTTTTATGGGCACAACCTAATCCACTATGAATTTGTTGTTCTTATGATGAGTTAATATTGTTGTGTATACCATTAAAAATGACAGAACATTACTCAGTTAACAGTTACCCAGTTGGTGTACGTGTTTTCTTATTTCACCATTTCTAGCATAATTTGGTCACTACAAATGTTAAAAAAAAACAGTTCTTGAAAAATAAAATAAGTGATTTTAAACAACGCTCACCTGGGTAAAGAAGTTAAGAGAGAATCGCTGTTATAGAGAGATGGTGGACCTTCAAAACTGATTTCTTGGGAATATTCAAAGTAACAATGCCCTGGTCCTTTCCTTACTAAAAACCCATCTGTAGGGGATAGACGCTTGCTGTCTAAAGTTACAGATAGGTGTTTTACCTAATCAAAACCAAAATAAACAATGATAATAAAGACTGCAGAAAGATGATTACATGTTGCTTTATGAGTTAAATGAAATCATCAATAAACAGTAACAGCTACATGAAGATTTCCAAACTGAATGGTCTGTTTACTATATTAACTGTAAAAATAAACACATTCTTTAAAGTTACTAGTTAATAAATTAATTGAGAACACAGTTAAAATGTTAATTTCACACACAACATCTTGTTACTTTTATGGCATAGTTAGTACGTTTTCAATACAAACTGGAAGCTACTATGATTTTCTAGAATGGTTATACTGAATCAGAAGTTGTGGTTAAGCGACTATGTTCACAGTAAAAATGTTGTATGGAACACTTCAATAAACTGTTACATTATTTGAAATACAGGTGAAACTGAAATTATACGTAAACAATAAATAAAAAGGAAAACTGAGAGAAAGAAAACATAAAAAGTAAAATAATCAGAGGACACTTAAGGTGTTATATTTTACAAATGAGAAAACTATAAACATACCATTAACTTGTTACTTTACTTTATTTTGAATACTGACACACATGTTATTAGATACTTCACTTTTATTTTCAAGTAACTTGTGTAAATCTGCTGAACTGCCTCTACAATTCAGTTTTTCACCTTTAATAAAGGTTACAGCTGCTGACCAGGCTTGGCTAAAACTTCAAACTTTGTTTTTTTTGTTGAATTTCATGCAAAGATACTCAAGGGCTCTCTGCAATAGCCATCCCTAAGTTAGGAAAGGCGGATTAGAGGGAAGGTAGTTATCCAACACCACCCACTGCCACCTCTTGGGTTATGCTAATCAAAAGTGGGACAGAGTAGCACATTATAACACTTACACAGCTGAAAAAGTGAGCATACTCGGTGATGGGATTCAAGCCTGCGACCTGCATATTATGAGTCGAGCACTCTAACTACCAGATTACGACTGAAAAGAAGACTTGGTAGATTTTCATGTGCTTGAATAAAGATGTGATGAAATAAGATATCATTCTAATAATAAAGTAAAAGTGAACTTTTAACATAAGTATTAGTACTTTTAAATAAAAACAGATATAGTGATATTACATTAAACAGATATAGTGATATTACATTAAAACATAAAAATAATACATATATGTGTTTATATATATCTATACATACACACATATTTCTTTTCTACATTTACACACTTGGGTTCAACTTGATAGGTATGAGGCTTGATATATATCATTACACATGCAAAAATATATACATATGTACGGTTATAGTGGCATGAAACACTGGATTTAGAAAAAGATGTACTTTGGTTAACTTCTATTTGGACATGCATCTTGAGAAGTGACGATAATCAAAACGAGAGTTGACATTTTCTCAAAAACTACAGAAAGTAACCTTAATTGGAAATTCTTTGTAAGATGCTTTATTTTAGTGCCATTATTTTATAAGTTTAGGTTTTTATTTTCCAAAAGTGGAGTACCATAATGGTTAAATTAACATTCTACAGGGACACATTTCATTTTTTCTCACTTGCTTAGACTTGTTCGTCATTATCTCTACTATTTAGAGACCTGTAAGTCCCTCCTGTATAGATTTCACCACAAATACTAGTTGATTAACCACATTCTCCTTGAGACAACGTTCAGTAGCTAAAAACATGCACAAGTAGTGGGTTCTAAACTAATTTGGTAGCACTATTCTATGGTAAAGACGTGTACAAGTAGTGGGTTATAATCTAATTATGTAGCATTATTCTATGGTAAAGACATGTACAAGTAGTGGATTATAAACTACATAAAGTAATTCAGTAGCACTATTATATGGTAAAGACATGTACAAGTAGTGGGTTATAAACTGATTCGGTAGCACTGTTCTATGGTAAAGAAATGTACAAGTAGTGGGTTCAAAACTACTTAAAGTAATTCAGTAGCACTATTCTATGGTAAAGACGTGTACAAGTAGTGGGTTATAAACTAATTTGGTAGCATTATTCTATGGTAAAGACGTACAAGTAGTGGGTTATAAACTACATAAAGAAATTCAGTAGCACTATTCTATGGTAAAGACGTGTAAAAGTAGTGGGTTATAAATTAATTTGTTAGCACTATTCCATGGTAAAGATGTGTAAAAGTAGTGGGTTCTAAACTAATTTGGTAGCACTATTCTATGGTAAAGACGTGTACAAGTAATGGGTTATAAACTAATTAGGTAGCACTATTCTATGGTAAAGACATGTACAGGTAGTGAGTTAAAAAATAATTTGGTAGCATTATTCTATGGTAAAGACAAGTAAAAGTAGTGGGTTATAAACTAATTCGGTAGCACTATTCCATGGTAAAGATGTGTAAAAGTAGTGGGTTCTAAACTAATTCGGTAGCACTATTCTATGGTAAAGACGTGTACAAGTAATGGGTTATAAACTAATTAGGTAGCACTATTCTATGGTAAAGAAATGTACAAGTAGTGGATTATAAACTACATAAAGTAATTCAGTAGCACTATTATATGGTAAAGACATGTACAAGTAGTGGGTTATAAACTGATTCGGTAGCACTATTCTATGGTAAAGAAATGTACAAGTAGTGGGCTCAAAACTACTTAAAGTAATTCAGTAGCACTATTCTATGGTAAAGACACGTACAAGTAGTGGGTTATAAACTGATTCGGTAGCACTATTCTATGGTAAAGAAATGTACAAGTAGTGGGCTCAAAACTACTTAAAGTAATTCAGTAGCACTATTCTATGGTAAAGACACGTACAAGTAGTGGGTTATAAACTAATTTGGTAGCATTATTTTATGGTAAAGACATGTACAAGTAGTGGGTTCTAAACTAATTAGGTAGCACTATTCCATGGTAAAGACGTGTACAAATAGTGGGTTCTAAACTAATTCGGTAGCACTACTCCATGGTAAAGACGTGTACAAATAGTGGGTTCTAAACTAATTAGGTAGCACTACTCCATGGTAAAGACGTGTACAAATAGTGGGTTCTAAACTAATT